ACTTTAAACAATTTCTGTTAATGTAGTAAGTTTTTAGTTATTTTCGGGTTTGAATCATAGTATAATTTGTGTGCAATTTGTTACTTATCCAAGACTAATAACTCACGCGAAAACGTTAACACGTCGCCTATGCAATAATAAATGAATTAGCTTAATAATCACGCAACATTATAACCCGCAAGGTCCGATGCTACTTTGCATCTTTCTAGCGACACCGAGTGGGAAGACAAGTCAAGACCATAGGAATTTTTCAATGACATTTTATCCTTAGCTCAAAATGTTTGAGCTAAAGATAAAATGTGCTGCACGGCAAACATCTACACGGTAGCCAAACTCGTCGTACGCACGAGAAAGCAAATCTTCTGTAACTGAGTGCAGCGTAGCAGTGATATGGTTCTTCAGATCAACCAGAGTTGCTGGTAGAGGCGGGACGTAAACAGAGTTGCTGGTAGATGCTGGGAGAGGCGAGACGTAAACAGAGTTGCTGGTAGAGGCGGGACGTAAACAGAGTTGCTGGTAGAGGCGGGACGTAAATAGAGTTGCTAGTAGAGGCGGGACGTAAACAGAGTTGCTGGTAAAGGCTTCCTTCCCTGGTAAAAGCTTCCATGACATAACCTAATAAAAATAGTCTTACAAGATCAGGTGATCTCGGTGGTCCAGAAGTGTAGAGCCAGATCTTTATTTCCTATGCGTCCTACCCAACGCTCTCACTCAGGAAGTGACTGATTCAAAAATATTCAAACGCCCAATTCAGCGTTAGAACAGGCTGAAAACAGATATGAATCTTTCTCTATTCATTGGTTTATAAATTATTCATTTTGAATTTATACTTGAATAAATACAAATTTAATAAATTAGGTCCATCATTTAGAATAACCCTGTATATCTTATTCGATGAAGGACGAATATATTAGAACGGCGATAAACCTTCAAGCTAACGTTGAATTCCACTTCGAGTTTTCATTACCCTGCGACGTGATGATTACTTAGTTTATTTTTCCAACACCAAGAAAATAAATTAGAGGCATCTCAGTATTATAAACAACCACATCAAAAATTGTATTACTTTTTGATTCCTGATAAACGAAACGGGAATTAATGAAGATAAAAAGTATGAATATTTTCCTGAGTACATCGATGCAACAAAGACGCACGAGGTGAATTCTAATAAAACACAGTAACGGTCAGGGCAAGTGTATTGAAAGCGGGAAAGCATGAGACAAAAACGAGGCGAGGATTGATACTCCCTACAAAAGTTTAGGAATTTGGAGACTTGACACATCGCAACTACTCAAAGACGACCAAATAATCTAATTTCAGGTGCAAAGGTTGTTTGAATGATGCAACATGTAGACCGTAGATCTACTTCAAATGGTCAATGAGTTCTACAGTTCACCCACAGCCTCATTAACATTTCTAATTCATCGGTCTACAGAAAACAGAATATTTCGAATAACAGTCTGGTTAACGATTTGCAGGCGTTCAAGACTTATATTTTCATTTCACTCGGAATGATCATCTCACAATCCATCACCAAATAAGAGAACTTGCGCACTAGAAATACCAGAAATTTCACGCAACTCGTGAATTGTTTCGGACGCCAATTTCTTGCTACAAGTCCAGCTACTACGTTGTCACTACCTTAAGTTATGTTTATTTCTTCAATATTGTTCATCCATAAGCTTCTCTTTGCCTAAGAAGTATAAACATTAAGAAGTTGTGTTTATTTCTTCAATATTGTTCATCCATAAGCTTCCCCGTGGCTAGTAAGTGTAAACATTAAGTAGTTATTGCCTCGCACCAACGATTCCAAAAAAAGTAATCCGTACAGATGAATGAATGCTAATTTTATAGATAAAAAACCAACACAAATTATCATTAACGTAATACTAATAATAGAATATTTAAGCAACTTAAACTAGTGTATCACAGATTTTACAAAATCTTACAATAGAATAGTAAATGAAAAAAAAGCAATAATAAAAACAACAAATTACAAGCAAATAGACGGTTCAACTTTATGTAGAAGTTTACTAGACATTCAAGTCATGATACGGAACATATATGTTGCTATTAAACCAAAATAGTTTAAAAAAAGATCCAAAATGGCTATTAAACCAAAATGGTTTGATAGCAACAGTTTGGGTCAAACTTTTCCGACATGAGAACGATCACTTCCATCCACGAGTAACTTTACAGTACGCTCAACAAACGGCCGAACTAGGCAATGTTTTCAAAACCATTTAAGTCATTAGTCAATTTCATGTCAAATTTGGAATGAAGATTATTCCTCAACAAAGAATCACAATATTTGGTCTATCTCGTAAAATTAATGGTCTGTAAGGGTACGCACACAGTGAAAGCAGGTTTGCCCGCGCGGGCAACCTGCTCCAACCTGCCACAAGAATGAACATAGGATAATAATGTAAGTGTTCACAGTGAAAACCTGTACGAATAGGCTTCTGTATTCTATGGTTTCAGGCGCCAGCTTGAGCAGGTAACCAGCACGCTGGCAACCTGCTTCCACTGTGTGCGTACCCTAAGCGCCACAACACAATCGATCAATTTACAAGCTGGATGGTGTCCACTTCTTGTAGATTGCGCGCGTATTTCAGTAGAAAGATTCTAGACGATAATTAGACATGTGCATTAGTCACCGTCAACAAAGACTGCGCAACATTCAACTAAAGAAGGACTTTAATTTCAAATAAATGGAAGAAATGTACATTTGTCAAAGCCAAAAATTGTTCCGAACCTTGCAACGTCTTCCTTCGAACTCAAACTGGAACCCGTAACTCAGGATCGGGAATGGCGCTCTCCATCACATCCTTGTATTCACTCATCGCTGATTAAGTTACATAATCACATTGATATATAGATAATAACGAATAAACTTAACTTAGACCGAATAAACTTAGACAAGACTTGTGTTTTGAAAAAAAATCAAATCAAATTGAATAGTTCGAGTAATAGCATTTAAGTAAGCGCAACTTAACACTTATGGCTCGAGTATTTTGGTGCGGGGTTTTTGCAACCATCATCATTGATTTGAAAATTATGCAAAGTTGCTACGCTGACAGAAACCATGACACATTGAAAAATAAAACAGGAAAAATCATCCAACACGATTCTAAATACGCAGCAATACCAGTGCGGCTCAAGCGGAATGAGGTAACAGGCTCTACATTCTAAGGGTGCGCACACAGTGAAAGCAGGTTGCCAGCGTGCTGGTTACCTGCTCAGGCTGGCGCCTGAAACCATAGAATACAGAAGCCTATTCGTACAGGTTTTCACTGTGAACACTTACATTATTATCCTATGTTCATTCTTGTGGCAGGTTGGAGCAGGTTGCCCGCGCGGGCAAACCTGCTTTCACTGTGTGCGTACCCTAACATGTATTAGTATCTCTGCCACGATTATCTTGTGTCTGTAACGATGACTGATCGTCGGTCGGTGATGTAACGGTGTGAGAGCAACATACGGCTGCCCTGTGCATGTCGTCAAACGTGATATTTAATACTTGATAAGAAACTACGAATTAAATAGTAAAGAAAATCTAGCATGTAACATCGCAAATTCTCAAGTGAGTTGCTGTGAAATAAATCTGAGTATTGAGAATAAGTTTCGAAGGCAGCCATGTTGCTTGCCTAGAACACTAATAAGATAAGTTTGCAGTAAACTTCACCTCGTTCCTTAACTAACAGTAGTAACTTTACGTAGCAGTAGCTCAACTGGTGGGCATTATTGTTTTATTTTATTTGCACTCTATTGCATGAAATGTAATTATCGAGTAGTTTCAGGATCGTGGGTCCTATATGAATGACGGTAAAGGTTCTATCACAAACAAACGATGGTAATGACCCAAACAAATACAGCCGTCACACAATTGGAGACTACAACGCCCTCACTTTATGTGGAAAGATAGTGATAACTGATGACTAATAACCCGATAACATCTGGACACGCAGTTTACAAATGGGTAATAACGCACAGTGCTGGCAACTGCAACATGTTGGCGGTACACGGCACAACTCGACTGACACGGTGCCGGAATAAACAAATTTAATTAGTAAACAAAATCGAGCAATCGACCTTGCGAACAATCAAAAATATGTCAATTTTTCAACAACTTTTCTAACAAGATATCGAAAGTTCCTGTTACAATGACGAGATTTTTTATCGTTGCTGAATTAGTTATTTGTGTCGTCGTAGAATAGCGTGGACCAGCATCATCGTTATTATTATCCATTGACTATCAGTATCAACAATTTTCATTCTATTTCCAGTTGGATGCATTTTAGGAACAGAAAATAGATACGTAAGTGTAGTAAGTTCACAGGGGAAAAACATACAGTAATGTAAACTGGTTATTGAATGAAACTTCTACAACCCAGTCAGAGCCTGTCTTTCACTCGAACAATGGCAGGGCCCCAAAAAATCTTCAATTCAATCAGCAAAATGTGTAAACCAAAATCCGCTATCACCAGCAATGACTAATACACGCGACGTGGATAATATCATTATTTGTTGTAAGTTAGCAGAAAAAATTGAGTCACGAGATAAAGGCCCAAAGCTGTCACAAGTTACTATCTAAAGATACAAAGGCAAGCAAGGCTTAAATGTTCGCAGGGCGCATTTGCAACATTCCCAGCACGCATATTTTGATTGAAAAAAAACGCATGCTCTGCGCTTGAGATAAATCAGCAGTCTGGTTACATTTGCTGGAACTTAATAGCCACTATTGAACTATAACCTCGATATCTCGAACATGAGGCAACGCAAAATTACAAGTGTATCTCAGATACATATATGAAATTACTACCATGGGTTGCCAATCGCGTATTACTTCTGAGCAGCGTATAAACGCATCACAATAATGACACAAGAACTTAATGTATGATCATTGTGCGGAAGCAAGACTAGTGGTCGTGAACTCATCCTCGAAGGTTTTGATCAGCAAGCGACTGGTAACCAGAATTTAGGATAATAAACCAACTTCGGAACTTCAAAATTCAAAGAAATATCGATTTCAGCTTAGCTTCTCCCTCCGTCTTAGAAGTTAGTAAGAATTCAAACAAGCACCACAATCCGGGTAATCGCAACTGGAATTTCTCCCATCCAACTGTAAATTATCACTAAGGTTTTTTTCAAGCTACTCTCAAATAATTCTTTTCTCCTAGAAAACAAACAGGCGAAATTCAGCGCCTGCTTATACAAGTAAGAATCGATATAAATCGACAAGATCACGCACGATTATTCGAAAAATATCGACTAGTCCACCGTTGCGATAACGACGGTCTCCCGAGTGAAGCTGACTAGCAGGGAAGACTGAGTCATCCAAGATAAAATGAAGAGATCGTCAATGTCTCATTCCTAGAGACATTTTTAAGCTCGTTCTCTAAGACGGGCTGACCTTTCTTCATTGGGTGCCGTACCCAGTAGAGCCTGGGCTCATCGAACAGTTCCCAACCCTCTAAATGAATAGGTTTCATTATCTTGCTTCAAGACCTGTCATTACGTTAAATGAGAAATCAAACAAACAAAATCCAGAAAGTTAAAGACCCTAAACATCACCAATTACCAAATGGTCATAATCACTTTCCAACTTCCCGACCTCCTTATTCCTATCCTTACTCAATATGTAATTGCGAGTCTTAGCAGCCTTGCCAGGCCTCGCATTGATCACGTTAATCAGCATAATCTAGGTCATTCATATATCGAGACATTGAATTGGCCTGGCCATTGAATCCAGGCCTCGCCAAGCCTCGCATTGAACACGTTAATCTAGGTCATTTATAAATCGAGACATTGAATTGGCCTTGCCAAGCCTCGCATTGATCACGTTAATCTAGATGAAGTTAAGCAGGCGTGGAGGCAGAGGACTGGCCGTGCAGTAGCTGGTTGATCTCATCGTCACAGTCAGGTAGAGGTTGCCTCCAGTACCTCACGGAGGAGTACTCGCCGTGGTGCAACGTCTCGTGGCAGTACACGGGGAACATGTGGTGCACTATGTCGCTCAGGTTGCTGTACCTGCACACCAAGAGACTAATTAACAAGATCTTCATAGATTTGGCTACAGTGTGATAAAATGGTTGCGAAAGGAGATTAGGAGAGTTTAAATGTACATGTGTATCACGTGGTACATGATAGCACATCATGAAGCACATGGTAGTACCGTATATCGTCATGTACAGAATGAACTAAGGACAATTAAATGAGAAAACGCATAAGATATGAAAAAAGTACACGAGGACACGTAAAACCATAAGTAAACAAGTATACGATTTCATGCTTACAATAATTGCTTCACATTCTGAACAAATTACATAAAAATAAACATTTATAAATACAAATGTGCTATGAGTCAGAAGAATTCAGTAGACTCATGCGTGAATGAAGAAGCAGTAGGTAGAAAGGTACAACAATTTTACGTGTAGAATAAAGCACAAATAAATTATCAGTGTTGAATAAAGCACAAATAAATTATCAGTGTAGAATAAAGCACAAATAAATTATCAGTGTAGAATAAAGCACAAATAAATTATCAGTGTAGAATAAAACACAAATTTGCACGTATCCAGGCACGTATTCTCACCTTGCGCGTGCGAGTCTTGGGCAGCAAAGAAGCTTCCTCGTGCGCCTCAGGCCACACCTAACTAACACAGCTAGCCGTGTGTCGTGCTAAATACTAGCGCAATACACTACTGAGGTAACTACAGCAACTGGACTGAGGTATGATGGTGCGAAATGATGGTGCTAAGAAATGCAGTGAATTACTACTTCACGTAGAACGAGCATTGAAAGGAAAAAGCAGAATAAAAATAATGAAAGGTTTTGGAATGTGATGAATCATGCGGTATAGCAAATGAGAGTAAATTAATTGTGAAATAATGAGAGTAAAGAGTTAGGAACTGAAGAAGCCCGATACTTCAAACAAACCTAATGTACCAGCAAGTAAGGAGTGATTTGAAGATTGATTACAAGCAACTTTTAATTAAAAGGGTGACGAGAGATCTTGTCAGTTTCAGAGAGTGACGCCGTCATAATCAGAGAGAGCAACGACCGAAGCAACTAAAAAGCTTAGAAAATCAATATGAATTCTAGAAGTAAAATTAAACAAGCACACAAAAACACACACGAAGCGTTTAGTTTCATAGGGGAAGAATTAAGTCATTTCTAAAATATTTTCAACTTATTTCGTATTAAATTCGACTACCAATTCGTCTAACAATAGAGATAGAAGTGGAGCTTAGCTATAAGGGTTCTTACTAAGTAATTCTTACTTAAAGAAATTATTAGCATGTCAACGAAAATTATAACAAATTCAAGCGTTTTATTATGGACACAACCACTTAGGCTACGAGAGTTTGCACTACACTAGGTGTTATTTATTGATATGTCAAACATCATTACAGCTAAAATAGACAGGGAACTTACAACTATAGCAACACTTATAGTATTATTATAAAAGATTAAAGATCTAGAAATTAGCAGCAAATCAAAAACGAATTTGAGGCGAATTTGAACTGAAATATTGCACAAAGAATATGTATTGCAAAAAAAAAAAAAAAACAAGGAAAAAATGCCGCAACCCGTATCGAGACGAATCATAGAGAGGACGAACAATCAACAACAAATAGCATAGAATTTCAACAACAATAACGATGTTTAGCAACGATAAAGATCATTACCAATATATTCAATGCAGTTCGCAGGTACCGCTTTTCATTACCGTCTGCATCAGAGATAACTTTTTACGACAAATTCAGAGACTGAAGGAAACAAAAAGTAAATAGTCTACAATAAACTAAAATCAATGGCAGGCACGAGCGAGATGCCAAGAAGTTCATCTAAGAATGCGCATCGTGGGTCTATAGGCAAATGCCAAGCAGCATCTGGCCTGTCAGCGTGCATCGCGGGAACGTTTGATCATAGGCCGACAAAACACCAATTAGAATGACTGTATCCATGAGACTAGAAGCCTGAGCAACGTTGTATATACTACGCCTGTGAGCGTCTACACTCTACCCGTGAGTTTGATCGTGAGTCGATAGAATAGAATAGAAGTGTCGGCGTTGAAGAAATAGGCCCATGGCCTGTTATAGTTACGTCGTTAACGATCGTTATAGTTACGTCGTGACGTTAAGCGTAGTTCGGTGTTCGCTATTCAAGCGCAATATCAACGTCGTCCGTGTCGCATGACAGATCAGACGCGTCGTCATCATCGCTGTAATCTGTTTCAAAAATTTCCTCTTCACCATAGCAAGCATTTTCGTCACTGATAGCATTTATCTCGGAAGACAGTGAGCGCTCACTGGATTTATAACAGAGTTCTTCACGGCTTTCTTCATTGTTGTTGTTCGCGTAAAGACGTTCGTTGTGTTCAAAACTCCAGGAGTATTCGTGCGAATCCCTCACCGGTACAGCCAGCGCACCCTCACGTTTAATATCGGAAGAATTAGATCTACTGCAATTGGAAGTGCAAGAAGCATCGTCCGCAGAACAGGAACAAGTCGACCGTGAACACATAGAGTCAAACCGACAACGACCAGGGCATTCGATGGGTGTTTGGGGCATGCTATTTTTAATTGCAATGCGCCGATGGTCCTGAGACGAATTTACGCATGTTGCAGAATTTTTATAGAAACTCGGCTCACTGTGGGAATTGGAAAACGTGCATTGACCAGAAGATTCAGACCCATGCGAGTAGGCGCGAGAACGGCTAGGAGAATAAGGCAGTGAACTAGAGTTAATGCGGTTTGTACAAAGGGTTAGGTTAGAGGTATTAGTCTGAGGCATATCAGAGAGCTCGTCAAGGTAGAAAAATGGAGATGAATTTCGAGGAGAGTCTGCTGAAATGGAGAATCCTGATGACTCGTGAACATGAGAGCAAGATGATCGCCTAAAAGTGTCAAGCGACGTGTATGTGAGAGAATGATCAGGAGGCGGGCAAGAGTTTTCGCGTGGCTTTCGCTCCTTAGATGAAGCAGAGATCTCGTGGTTACCGAATCCATGGATGGATTTGTCATTATTGTCAGAGTTGCTGTTATTGGACCATGACCGAGAGAGTATGGGCCATAAACTTGAATATGACGACGTTAGAAGATTGTAAGAGCGAGACAGTAAGCCCGGCGTAGCAGACACGTTTTGCGCTTGAGACACAGAAGTCCGGGCGCAGTCGATGGACGAGAAAGTTGACGTTGGAGCGCTGCTCGAGAGCACAGGGCTAGAGGAGTTCACGGCAACACCTCGATCTCTTTGTTCTCTCATCAGACGGTCTGAGAATGACTCGTTACGATCAACAAGTGCAGCCGGTTCGCTCCATGTTGGTGCAGACATAGAATCATGTGTCGCTGGAAAACCTAGCACATCATCGTCTGAAATGCCACAAAGTTGCAGTGGCCCCCCGGCGTAGTCGTTAACCCCGCCAAACTTGGGACAAGAAGCCGAGGTGGTTATAAACACGCTGGTGGTAGTTGCAGGATTGGCTGAAGAATGAGACCAAGTGAAAGTGGAGACTACAGCCGCTTCTTCATCCAGGATGGAAGATTGTGAAGAGACGGCGGAGTGACAGAAGTGGGCCCGAAAGCGAGCGTGCGTCTCAGGGAAAATATCGTCGACCAGAGAACTGAGTTGCTCGTAACTGTGGTTAGGGTAGAAAAATCCTCATATCAGAAGAGAGAATAACTTAAGGACGAAACCTTTCGTTTGGAAAATAGTGCGAGGAACGAAAAAAGTATGAAAGATAAAAAATCTAATGGTATACAACAGAGAAAATCTTTAGAACATTAAAAAATTAAGTCACCAACTATCAGAAAAATTTGTCCTTTCTCGGAAAAAATGAATTCGGAAACTAATTCTTAATACGTGATAAGTTGACCATGCGATACAAATTCAGAATCAACCATAGTTTTACAAGTAAAGAGTCACTAGAAAAATCATGATCTATGATTCTACATAAAAGTGAACAATTAAGATAATCATAATAAAATAAAATAAAAATAAGATAATCATGATGAATAGAACATAATTCAACTACGTTCACAAAATAAACCAATGAGAGAGTAAAACATTGGAAATGCAATTATAAGAAAATTTGCTGTTCTTTAAAACATGGCCGAATTAATGCAGAAGAAACGCTGAACTCAACAGAGAAAAGGATAGAGATGAACCTACAAAAAATACGGAGGGAAATCAAGATAATCCTGCAAAATCCAAATCCTAATAGCAAAATCCTAATAGTTTCCCAAGATAATCCTGGGAAATCCTAATAGTCGAAAAAGTTAGCAGCGCACTAATTCGTCTTGAAATCTGTCTCAGAGCTTGCAAGTCGATACACACATTTTCTATTCCTTCAAGTGGCTGCAACTATTGTAAAAGGAAGGTCTTGTATTGTTGTCCTCAACTATTGTATTGTTGTCATATTCATGCGTTGGAAAGCAAGCCTCTAAAACATGGGGTTCGACAAGGAACATGAATGTATAATATTGCATATTTTCAGATTTAAACAGTTGAGCACCCTTTTTCTCGTAGGATATTATTGGCTTAAAGAGGAAGTCTGTCGTGTAAAAATTTGTAGTGTACAGAAGATATATGAAAGAGAGGCAAGAAAATCGAAGACAAATTTCTAGAAGGATATTTGAATATAGCTAAGAAATAGTGAAGACTGTTTTTCTTGTACTTAGGATACAACTCGTTGCTGTGCTGGTAGAAATAGTGCAGGTCGACCCTCTGTCTTATTTCCTCAAGTAAAGAAGCCGAGTAAGCCTTGTCAATAGACTTCACAATCGAGACACTGTACGGGTCGGACGAGCCCGTGGTGCCCACGGTCTCGTACGGCACACAGAAACACGCATCAGAACAGCCCGCCCCTTTCAAGTTAGGGGGCTCTTCATAGGCGATTTTGAAATTTCGCCCACGGCCCACAAAAACACGCGTCAGAACAGCCCGCCCCATTCAAGTTAGGTGGCTTTACACAGCCGATATTGAGATTTAAAACGGAACTATCTTAAGAGAGCAGAAAGAATTTCAGAAGCAACTCTGAACCAGTAGTAGACTATACTCATCCCTAGACCTTCAAAATTACCGGGAAAATTGAAATATATCATTTTTATCTCCGAAAATAGCGTTATAGTAAGTAAGGAATTTTTCATTACTTTAGGATCAGTGAACCCGGAAACGATCTCCTGAGACATAACGCTAGCATCTTCAAAAAAAAAAAATAATAATAAATAAAATTAACAGCTTCTGATGTCAGAATGATTGAGACAAGCTTCATCAGTTACCAGGTCTCGTATTTCTTCTTCGACGTGTCAAACTTTGCCCAACAATGATTACTTGTCTAAAGAGATTCTTGATCTCAATCTTTGGTTCTGGAAAATTGAGATAATTTGGCAGCCTCAAGGCCGTAAGATGAAAGGTACCTACAGACAGTAAACAGAATAATAAGTGCATACAGAAAATGAAATGTAAAGATAAATTTACACAACAAAGTGTTTGGACACATCGCTCGCCACGTACATAAGCATGCAGACAAAGTCAGAGTAGGAAGAGCGTGCCTCTGAGCATGTAACTGAAGCAAGCCGTAACAGAAAAATACTGTTTAAACAAATTTTATATTTACTAAAATTTCTCTTTCAACGCATCAAAATCTATTCGATGAATTATATAATTAATTAAAATCATAAATAAGAGGTTGTTTTAAAATCATAAATAAGAGGTTGTCCCCTAGTTTTGGATTTGTATTTAAATTTTCACTTGTGGTAGAGGTCTAGTCAAAAATAATGTTTTGATAATAACGTTATAAACATGTCTAATTGCTGCGTCACTTGTTTTGCCGACTGCAAAACTTGTGCGTCAACATCGTTACCTACACAAATAATAGGACTTGGTCCTTCAAATACCCTCCACCAAGTTAAATCGGAACACAGACCAGGGGCCATACTTTCAAAACTAGCCAAGTGAACGCAAGTACTTGCGCTCTATTTTATTGCCTATGATTGGTGAATTTTGCTTGAAAGGCCGTCAATGATTGGCTGATGAACTTACGATCTCTTAACTTTTTTTGAAAGTATAGGCCCAGCACAACACAGCAGCGGCTTGTGCTGCAGCGCCAAAATATCTAAACGTAGCGTCCTTCATTACGGCTTCCATCAGTGACATACAATACATGTGATGTGCAGAATAATCTTGTGATGAAATAAAATCATGCACGGATAGGAAGAAAGAGCTCCACAAGTACGAGACGAGTATATGCCACTGCCGTCCACAATAAGCAAGCTAGCTAAGCTTGATTTATACCCGTAGTCTTCAGAACACGACTTGTAATTAACAGAACATGCTCAATAAAGAGACAATACACAAGATGTACCAGTATTATCCCCAGTAAATACCTGTAACACCGTCCTCAGTAAAGCATGCAGATAAAATAAACTGGTACCTGTAGAGTGACACTTCGCTCATTTAAGTAACGCTGTCGACCGGTTTGCTGTTAATACGGGCTATGTTTTGTTAAACAAACCAGGACCTTTTTAGCACGCACGAAACTTGCTTGCCCTGGATGTGCATTATGGGCAGTGGTATGGTGACTTAGATTTGTAGGAAAATGACGTCAATAACACTAAATAAACCTGTTGGCAAGGAATGTGTGGACAAGCGGGTAACTCACGTAGACTGGAAGGTTTGGGTGGGCAGTGGTATGGTGACTTAGACTTGTAGGAAAATGACGTCAATAACACTAAATAAACCTGTTGGCAAGGAATGTGTGGACAAGCGGGCAACTCACGTGGACTGGAAAGTCTGGGTGAGCTCGTGCTTCAGTTCCCCCTTGTGGTTGATTGTGAACACCCGCGAGATCGGGATGCCCACGGCGCGGTAGGCCCAAACGTCCTGTGGTTCGGGGAACCGTCATAGGAGATAAACTTCACATACAGGCGCACAATGGAAGTTTAATGCAATAAACACTGCCAGAACTGACTAAATTAGCACGATTTCCGGCTGGTTCTGAATTTCATATTTAAGGAAGATGCAAGAAGCTACCAAATAATTGTCTCCATTTTATCAACTGCTACTCATGCCAACTGCACCAGATGATAGGAAGCATTTTTAGACATCTAGCCGATGATTATTATGCCTGACTTCTCAATTCGGCTCGTAAGTAAGTGTGAAATAACTAGAAAAAATATAACTCAGTACTCACTGCAGTGAGTGACAGAGCGCATTTTCTCGTCGACGAAAACTTGAGGTCACGGACGGACGGACATGGCGAGCACAATAGTGCATTTTTTCCATAAATGAGAAAATGCGCTAAAAATGGGAAGTAAGGAACATTTTTTCATCATTGGTAAATGCGATCGACATCATACGAGGAAGACGGGGCAACTCACGTTTATCCTGTTACCGTAGCCGGCATAGAAGGGGTTACTGGTGCTGGGGAAGAGAGCTTGGATGTCGCGCAGACACGAGATCTTGAACTCCTCAGGCTTGCGCTCGATCACCTCCCTGCACCAGGTGATGTAGTCATTAGTCGTGACTAGCAGCGTGATATGGTCAGAGTGTAGATGTGTATATCAGAGACAGAAACTAAACCTGAACTCAACTTTCCTCAGAACAAGCAATAGCATTCAAATATATAGTTTACTACTCGCAAATACATAATATACTCGTCGGCATAGCAGCCTTATATCATCGAATATCAACAGCAACCATGTAACTTATCTCCTACCATGAGTACCGTTCTCTTGTAGCAGGAGGCCGTCAGGAAGGCTCACCTGTGGAAGGCCTGCAGCAGGCTGGTGGGGTTGAGCAGCAGAGGGCCGTCAGGAAGGCTCACCTGTGGAAGGCCTGCAGCAGGCTGGTGGGGTTGAGCAGCAGGGGGCCGTCAGGAAGGCTCACGTCCTCCTGTACGATGGACCGCAGGTAGTCGCGGGTGATGCGCGCTTGGCCTGTGCATGCATCAATACAAGAGCTTCAGATCGTTGATAATTAATGAAAATCCTGCAATAAATCAGCCATATCTTCATCGCCAGAATTTGAAAAAAACATGGGGCTGGGATGAAGCCCGGATGATGATGCATCATCGCCATAATTTAAAAAAAACATGGGGCAAGGATGATGAAGCATCAGCAATGATGAATATCTGTCTATAGCTGAGCTCTCATTCCTAAGTAATAATAATAATAATGCAACGTGCTAGGGTATTAAAAGAGAAGTATTTCTAACGACAGCAGCGCAGGCTGACCTATGGCGCGTGCAGAGAGGTAGAGGAAGTGATATCCGTTATCTTTAATCTTGGAGAAGAGCTGGGCCACGCCGCCCTGGGACCAGTCCCTGCCGATGATGGGCATGAGGTGGCCCAGCACGTCGCTCTTCGTGATGGTGCCATCGATGTCTGAGACGATGATCTTCTCGTCGTAGTTCCACAGGTAGATACGGCACCTGTACATTGAAATAAATACAATAACATTCATACACAAACACCAACGCGTGAACTTACTAACATTAAAATAAATACAATAACATTCATACACAAACATCAACGCGTGAACTTACTAACATAAAAATAAATACTATAACATTCATACACAAACATCAACGCGCGAATTATTTACATATAATAAATACAATAACATTCATAAATTTACCAACATTAAAGTAAATACAATAACATTCATACACAAACACCAACGCAAAACATCCACACACTAATACCAAGAAACAAACATCCACAAACAGGAATAAACACGCATACATTAGCAAGCTTATGTGGTCGAACATTTTTTCTGGAGGAACCAACGACTCCTAGAAGTGGTACCTGCATATCGTGGTGCCCTGGTACCTGCATATCGTGGTGCCCTGGTACCTGCATATCGTGGTGCCCTGGTACCTGNTTAGTGTACTGCAGCCCATCACATTAGTACGGTAGTACACATTAGTGTACTGCAGCCCATCACATTAGTACGGTAGTACACATTAGTGTACTGCAGCCCATCACATTAGTACGGTAGTACACATTAGTGTACTGCAGCCCATCACATTAGTACGGTAGTACACATTAGTGTACTGCAGCCCATCACATTAGTACGGTAGTACACATTAGTGTACTGTAGCCCATCACATTAGTAGGTACAGTAGTACACATTAGTACAGTGGTACACTAGTACACATTAGTGCAGTAGTGAACATTAGTACAGTAGCGAGAACACCATGAAATACAACCGATACTCTACACAGCTATCATCTTAAAGTTTCACCATATACAACTTTTGTCTTAGAGAGCATTTTCTCAAATTTGAATAACTCTCAAGTTAAAAATGTAATCTGATATAAGTAGGAGAAAATAATTGAAACGACTAACTAGATACTCAATGTGTTCATATGTGACTAAAATAAAACTATGGGTGCAATTTTAGTATTTAAATGTCGCGTGAACATTGAGAGCCTCGCTGATATCATTAACAAGGGTCATACATTCAAAACTCGCTAAGTGAACGTAAGTACTTACGCTCTCTTTTCTTGTCTATGATTGGTGGATTTTGCTTGAAAGGCCGTCAATGATTGGCTGATAAACTTACGATCTCTTAACTTTGTTTGAAAGTATAGGCCCAGGAAGGAACGTACGATCTGTTGGGAGGTGAGACGGAGGCTCTTCTTGTATTTGCTCTGGGACTTGTTGGGGAGGTCGTCACCCTTGTCGGTCCCCAGGGTGGGGGAGTCCGGAGGCTGGTACGATCCCATCTCGGGGGTGCTGGGGGAGGACGTCTGGGTCTCCGCGGCCGTCACCTCCACAGTGTCATCTGACGCCTGAACAAACAAATCATGAAATTAACATCTGAGTTGTCTTTAATTTCTGTTCGTAATACTATAAATCATTGATACTACAACTATTTTGATTACAGCCCGTATCACTAGATGCCAAGCCTAGCAGGAACAGAATTGATGAAGGTCAATAAATCCATGCATAAAAGGTTAACCTGTTGACTACTTGAAGAAAGGTTCACTATTTCAATCTATAGACCGTAACTCTCGTTGTCAGGCTTTTAGATACAAACAACCTCAACGACGGGCAAAGTCTACATCGGACGAGGGTTAACGCGTTCGACTGCACTGAAAGTAACCTTTAAAATAACTTCCAATATTTAAGCCACCAGCTGGTGAGCTAGGACGGACCTGCAGCTGGTCGGGCAGGTCGGGAGGCGGGACGGTCTCGACGGTGTCGGCGGTCTGGCGGCGCCACGTGAACCACGAGTAGCCGCCGCTCACCGACGGGCTCCGCTTACGGGGCTCCTTCTTAGGCATGTGGTCCCGTACCAGCTCCTCCTTCACAACCTGGTAACAACCATAGCAATTCAACTTAACAAAGAAAATAATTGCGTAACTGATGGAAGCAAAACTTTTCTAAGTGCTCTCAGCACCTGCAAGAAAGCAATTACTTAGAAAAACAGATGCTCACAAGCGAGTTTTTTTCTTTTCTTTCCAAAAAATAGGGTACATAACAATTCTTGAAATAGTTTCAACAGTAGAATGACAGGAGCTACAAGTAAGCCTCCTTTTCAGATAAAACTACCATATTGAACAAACAGAAAAAACTTTAACAGTGCATTGTCTTACAAGGTCCATCAATGGCTAGCCTAAAAACGAGCAACCTATGTACTAGTAGATAATAATAACTAAGTAGACCAGCATTACTAACGTCAGGCAAGGGACGCTCAGCCTTAGTATTAGTAAATAATAATTAGGTAAACCAGCGTTGCTAACGTCAGGCAAGGGACGCTCAGCCTTAGTATTAGTTAGGTAGACCNCTGTCTCTTATACACATCTAGATGTGTATAAGAGACAGGGCAAGGGACGCTCAGCCTTAGTATTAGTTAGGTAGACCAGCGTTACTAACGTCAGGCAAGGGACGCTCAGCCTTAGTATTAGTTAGGTAGACCAGCGTTACTAACGTCAGGCAAGGGACGCTGGAAGAGCATGAGAGCGAGCAGCTGTGGTGCTGCGGTTGCCCAGTTGTAGTAAGCGCCGCCCAGCCTCACGACGAGGTCGGGACTGGAGAGCACCTCGGCAGTGTTGGCGCAGAAGTCGTCGTAGGTGACGAGGTTCTGTAGGAATAGCGACTCGGGCACCTCCTTGTCCCGTAGCTCCTGCAGGCGACCGCACAGCGACAGCGCCACGTCGTGGTAGCTTCTGCACACACATGTACAGCACTGTTGAACTATGCGCACATGTACAGTACTGTACAGCCATGCGCACATGTACAGCACTGTTGAGCTGTGCGCACAACTACGATTCTTACCCCAGTCACTCTCACCAGCGTCATTGCGCCATGTATGAAAGTTATGATGCTTACCACACTCGAACACATTTAAATACGAGTTACTGAAAATATTAGTGGACTACATGAATTAAAAACACATTAACTAACCACATATTCAAATACTGTAATGTAAATATACAGCGTATTTGCGCACGCTGAAATGATCAAGGAATTCAGCAGGCGATAGATTGTCTGTGTGTTAGTATATCATTCGTTGGTGTGATAACATAAGCCCCTTGCTAGTAAATAGCTCAACATTCAATGTAGCGATATCGACCATTTTTCAACGTTGGAATAAGGTTATTAAATAAAGTTCCCCAAAAAATTTACACTGGAAGCCTCTTTTCCAACAACTAATTCTACGTTTCTCCGTGGAAATATGTTCCCCTAGGTTCCTGCACTGACTTGTAGTCAAAGACAGGGTGTCGGGGTGAGGAGTCGTGCTCAGCATCAGAGTCCAGCCCCACCAGGCGGGTGTCCCCGCAGCTCTGAGGGGAGTGCGGCAAAGAGGGACCCTTCCCTGACTCCACGTCATCCTCAGGCTTGCTGCGACCTGACGGCAGAATTGCATTAGTAAACTGACGAAGAAAAATGTCATGCGTTCGAGTGAAGGATTACTACCTACCATGCTCGACTTGACCTTTGCCTTTCAACGTGGATTCAAAAGTTGCGACGTTACTCACGTTAAAAGGTCTTTATTTACCATCTCACATAAATAGAAATATACCTAAAAAACATGAAACAAATCTGTTATAATTAAAAAATCTTCAAATAGTGTCAAAAACGTGAGAAAAACTAAATAAAAAAACAATACACCAATAATCAAAATTACAGTGAAATGCACACCCAAATGCTGGTTTTGCTTGGTTCATTATTAAATTAAAACAAGCAAGTTGGGTGGAGACCAACCAGGTATGGGGACGCTAGCGGAAGCAGAGGAGCCCCCCGAGGCGGCAGAGAACTTGGGGAAGTAGAGCGCAGCCACCTCAGGGTCGAGGTCGTCGGGGTTCAGGTCCTCGAGATAAATCCCCTCGGACTGGGGATTGTGACGAGCCTTCTTCGTTGCTCTCATGAACGACAGCATCCCGCCGAACATCGACCGCTGGACTGTGGGCAGCAAGTCAATGTTAACACATACCAAGATGGACTTTTAAACATACAAACTTAGGTTCCTAGGAACCGTTCCGCCTAAATTACCTTTCTGCATAATAAAGTTCCTATAACCAGGAAAGAGGCGCATTCTACAGCGATCTCAAGTCGTAACAGGCAATAATGGCCTACACAACACATGCTATCTCAGATTAGAATTACATCCCAAGATACTTCTATATCGTCTCCTAAGTTGAAAAGTTCACGGACCCCTTGAATCGCCCACTGGGTCCAAGTAACGTGTCAAGTGATCTACTAATATTGCAGGACGAGAAGAAGGGCATTTTAGCTTAGGCGAAACTGTTGACTATATTTTAAAAATGGTTGCAAACAATCCAGCGAACAATCGTTGGTTTATCACGTATTTGGTGATAAACGCATAGAGTTTAATACAATAACTTCTACCTATGCTAGCTTCTTGTTCTGCAGCAGCAGCAGCAGTCTGCACCACAGGAGTGGCAGTCTTCTCAGCAGAGTCTGCAGGAGCACCTGACACATACGGCTGAAGTGCAGACAAGCCAGATCCCGCAGTTGCTGGGCTCTCCTCCGCGCTGGGATCGCCTTCTGCAAAAAATTGCACCACAATTTCTGATAAAGACACCAAAATCAAAATTGATTTTTAATAATAGTTAAAGAATGCAGAAAAATATAATTTGTCACACAAAAAGTCAATTCGGACTAAAATCTGGTCACGTCACCACAGCTCTAGTACTCTTCGATAACCCTTCACTTCTCTTCAATAGCCCTTCAAATCTCTTAAAAACCCCTTTACTTCTCTTTAGCAACCCTTCAGTTCTGTTCAACAGCTATTCTTCAATAAAACTTCCGGTTAGATAGAAATTCATCATGATATTAAATTGAAAAAAAGCAAGTAAGCTATTAATTTTTTTGACCTCACAACAAATTCCTGGTAGTACCGCGTAGTTATACCAATACCACCGAAGCGATAAATTGTGTGGTTTTACGTTAGATGTCGTGACGTGAAGTGACGGACCTGCTACTGCGGTTGAAGGAGAGGCGGCTGAAGAGGAGCTAGTGGAGGATGTGGTGGTGACGCCCTTAGGCTTGACGGGAGGAGTGGGTAGTTGTCCCCACGTCCAGTTCCAGTTGCCCTCAGCATCAGCCTTGATGCTCTGGTCGCTCACCTCCTGACGGTTGCGCTCAACCTCGTACTCGGTGTCTGACTTGATGGGCGTGCCAGGCCGCGACGAGTTCGGGCTGCTCAAGCGTATCGTTTGAATACATATTATTTATTAATAAACATATTATGGTTGCAAGAAATATTGTCAAGTATCTATTAAATTGAATCATAATACGGCAGGAATTGAAGCCTGATTATTATCAGCATTTTAAATAAGCATTGATGTGTTGCTGTGTAAAAATATAGCGGATTTAACACATCAGATTTGCATCTCTGGCGATTTCAATTGGTTCTTACCGAAGACGCAATGCGTGCGAGACCACAGATATAAAGGAAGGGATTACCATACCTCACATGAAGCAAAAATTAGAGCAGAACCTTCCGTATAATATGAATAAAGAAACAATACTCACAGACAGAGACAACACCCACAGACAGAGACAACACTCGTAAACAGAGACAACACTCACAGACAGAGACTAACACTCGCAGACAGAAACTAACACTCACAGACAGAGACTAACACTCACAGACAGAAACAACACTCACAGACAGAGACTAACACTCACAGACAGAAACAACACTCACAGACAGAGACAACACTCACAGACAGAGACAACACCCATAGACAGAGACAACACTCACAGACAGAGACAACACTCATGTACAGAGACAACACTCATGTCCATAGACAGAGACAACACTCACAGACAGAGACAACACTCATGTACAGAGACAACACTCATGTACAGAGACAACACTCACAGACAGAGACAACACTCGTAGACAGAGACAAGCCACAGACAGAGACAACACTCGTGTACAGAGACAAGTCACAGAGAGACAAGTCACAGACAGAGACAACACTCTTGTACAGAGACAACACTCACAGACAGAGACAACACTCGTGTACAGAGACTGCGGTACCTGGGAGGGGGGCTGATGTCGGTGTCACTGAAGGGGTGGAAGGAAGGGCCCAGCTCCGCGCACGAGATCTGCCGCAGCGACGCCGCCGTGTCACCGTCTACGTCAGCCTGAGAACACGGTGGACATGAGCATACGGTGGACATGATACGGTGGACATGAGCACATGGTGGACATGATACGGTGGACATGATACGGTGGACATGAGCATACGGTGGACATGAGCATATGGTGGACATGAGCACATGGTGGACATGAGCCATATGGTAGACATGAGACGGTATCATGAGCACACGGTGGACATGAGCACACGGTGGACATGAGCACAAGGTGGACATGAGCACACGGTGGACATGAGCATACGGTGGACATGAGCATACCGTGGACATGAGCATACAGTGGACATGAGAACACGGTGGACATGAGAACACGGTGGACATGAGCACACGGTGGACATGAGCATACGGTGGACATGAGCATACGGTGGACATGAGCATACGGTGGACATGAGCATACGGTGGACATGAGCATACGGTGGACATGAGAACACGGTGGACATGAACACACAGCAGACATGAGCACATGGCAGACATGAGCACACGGGCAAGAACAAGAGCACGGGAAAGCAATATGGATCACATAAAACTAACGGGAAACTGCGTGAAGACGGAACGAAGGAAACAAAGAAAAAAAATTCCAAGAAAACATTTTCTCCTGAACATCTAGAAAACGGCGAACGCTCTCCAAAAACAAAAAGAAACAGAGAATACAACCATGGCAGCATCATGCTATCTGAAGATGGTGACAACGAACGGAGGAGGAAGAAAACAAACGGAAAATTTTCCCAAGCAGAAAATTCTGCTTGGGAAAGATTCTAGTGCAGCGCAAATTTAAGACGTCATTTAATTAAAAAAAGACAGCACGGGGTTCGCTAAGCGTGCAAGGTTGTGCTACTAGGTGGGCACGGTGGGTGCGAATTGGGTGATCACGAAGGTGCGGGGTGGTTTGCCGCGGTGGGGCGAAGTGTGTTAGCATGGGCGGGTGCGGAGTGGGCCCGATAGGTGGGAAATGGGCAGGTACGGAGTGGGTGGGCCTGCTAGATGCTAAGTGCGTGGGCAAGGTGGGTACGGAGTGGGTGGACACGGCAGGTTCAGAGCGGGCACGGTAGCTCACCCAATGCCTGAGCGTGTCGACGAGTCCGGCAGAGAGAGAGGTGGGGAGTGGGGCGACTGTTGAGGCTTCCCTTAGAAGAGGTAGACTAGTCGAGTGTGCCACGCCGTCCTAAGAGGATTACGACAGACTTACGAACATCATGAAAGACTTACGAAAGTCCTGACACAGTTAAGAGGGTTACGACATGTAAGAGGAGCGAGGCATTCTGCGAGTACCATCACAAAGTAGAGAACTTTAGAGTTTGAGCACCAAGTGCACATCGATAAATTATTAACAACAGCGGCGCGCAAAACGGTCGTACAATCCGCGTCGAACGACTGACGAAGCCGCGACAGCATCGTGCATCAGCTGACCCAAATGAGAGCAGATAAGCGATAATCAGAGGCGGCGATCCATCGTGGCCTGGGACTGCTACGTCCCAAACAAATACCAAGGATACCAAGACGTTCGACCAAGCCGCGATAGACGTCCGACCAAGCCACGACAGACGTTTTACCAAGCCACGACAGACGTTTTACCAAGCCGCGACAGACGACCGACCAAACCACGACAGATGACCGACCAAACCACGACAGATGACCGACCAAGCCACGACAGACGACCCACCAAGCAACGTCTGCCCCAGCCACGACATACCTTGACATCGACGTCATCCATGGCGAAGACGCAGCCGTCCTTGATGCCATCACGGGCTCCTCCGACGGAGGCGAGGTCGGCCACCTCTGACGTGGTGGAGGCGTCACTGCTCTGGCTGCCCGACGTGCCCTTCTTCTTGCCGGTCACCTGCTGCAGTTGTTGCTGCTGCTGTTGTTTGTAATTCTGGCGGCGGCGACGCTTGCGACGGTTGCGCGACCCTGCCACATACACAACTGTTTCAGTTCTTCGCACAAACAATCGGGGAAAAAGTAAGTGAACATTACATTCATTGAGCGTAAACAAGATATTTGTACATCAGAAGATAATTTAGTTTCGTGGATTAACTGGATTTATTACTAAACATCGAGATTAGCATTCAAACGTTACGCGATCATTCATGCCTTAATGAACTCCCAGAAGTCTTTGAATGGGGTACACTCATCCCGAACAGAGCCTGTGTCTAACCTTTAGAATTGTCGTCAGGATCCTCCTTGGAGTCAACCTCAGACTTGGAGACGCCCTTTGTACTGGTATCGGTAGAACTTTTCTTGGCCACCTTGATGCGCGCGTTCTCGGCAGTGGATCCAGGCGAGTCGTCGCCGACCACCGCGTCAGAGGAAGGCTTGGACTTCTTGGGAAGCTCAGGCACGAGCTGGAACTGCTCGATGTCAGTCTGAGTGCACGTGTGTCGCATCACAAACTTAGAACTGTCCTGGCGAGGTACTCGGGACACAACACCCAGCTCTGATGACTGGCCCTTATGATCTGACGAGACGGCTTTTCCTTTGGAGTCTTCGCTTAAATTCACTTTATGATCGCTACCGGATGAATTTATAGGCGACACATCGACTACTGATGAACTAACCTGGCTCTCATGATCCGTTAGATTTAGGTGGCTCTTAACATTAGTTGAACCTACTTGATTCTTAATATCTAAAGAAGAATCAAGTTTCTCGTCTTTAGCATTCGAGTTTAATTTTTCCGGTAGACTAGAAGCATCCAATACGGATTCACAGGCAATATCAGGGGTGGTTCCATTTGTTGTGGGCACCTCGACCCCAGCAGCGTCCTGCAGGAGACCAGGCTCAGGATCCAGCTGGTCGGTCCTGATCCTGAGGATGCGAGTTCGGGGCGCGTCCTGCAACGCGTCCTCAGCCTCGAATCCTGAGTCCTGTGACCGAGCCTCTTCGTCTGACTTAGGGTAGTTGTCGAGACACGTCTCTTCGTCGACAGCTGCCCCCTCATCTTCGTCCAGTTCTTGGGCAAAGAAAGCCTCACCAGTCTCGCCCAACTTCATGTGGATGTCCACAGGCTCGCCGTTGATCTCAATGTCCACCTGCGCAACACGGAATTTATCAATAATATTCCAGTTGATTAATTAAAACAGCAATATTTTAAAAGTTATTAAATAAATCAAAACAGTATGAATTAAACCTAAAGTTAAATTTAAACTATTGTTCTATTCATTTCACGAGGCAGCATGGAAAGGGTGTGGATTGCCGAGGTGAACGAGAGCAAAATAAATGTACGATTGAAAAAAAAAAAACGAAAACCAAAAGGAAAACTCGCTTGCATTAAAAGTATATAAAGGTTATTGTTCACGATTGTACTTGATACGTTGGAGCAAAAGCGTAACTAATAATTCGACAATACCTACGTCGGATCATTACATTAGTTTATAGAAGCACAATTGAGTAATTCTGATCAACTTCATACCCAAAAATCAACCAAAGCTCACTTTTTAACAATCAACGGCAGTTCACTGTTAAACATGAAACAAGAAGCATTATGATGATAAAGAAAGTCAAGTTGAGGCAACGAAACGATGGCTGGCGCACAGACAGACGATGGCGCACCGTCAGGCGGTGACGTCACAGCCGGTCTATTGATCCCGGCTCAGCTGATTGCCGGGGCCGGCGGCCCTGCGTGGCACTCTATTGCGTGGCACTCTGCTGCGTGGCACTCTGCTGCGTGGCACTCTGCTGCGTGGCACTCCCAGCCGTGTTGCCTGCCACTGCCTAGCCCTCAGCAGTGCTGTACAGCACGGCTTAGCAGTGCTGTACTAAACGCATTAGCAGTACTTTCTAGCCCGCATCAGCAGTGCTGCACAGCATGTCTCAGTAGTGCTTTACAGCACGTCTCAGCAGTGCTGTACAGCACGGCTTAGCAGTGCTNCAGTACCTACTATACGTCATACCCCAGCAGTGCTGTACAGCACGCATTAGCAGTACCTACTATACGTCATACCCCAGCAGTGCTGTACAGCATGCCGGGTGTCACAGCGGTCACATGCAGCAGTTCGCCGCAACAAAGAACTGCGCCCAACATATACACGGCAACCCCGGCCGCGCACCTCTGACTCACCCCAGTTGCTTGTGAGCGCATGACTAAGCGCGGGACGTGAAAACGGTTTAACCAGAGCCCATACTTTCAAAAAAAGTTAAGAGATCGTAAGTTCATCAGCCAATCATTGACGGCCTTAATTTCAAGCCAAATCCACCAATCATAGACAAGAAAATAGAGCGTAAGTACTTACGTTCACTTTGCCAGTTTTGAAAGTATGGCCCCAGCTCGTCCAAAGTTGTACGTGAGCGTCAAAAACACTTTTATGCCTGCAACGCTAATTACGCCGTTGCAATAAATGTGTCAAATTGAGATATACCATCCATGTCATCAGCAAGATATACCATCCGACATCGTTCTGGTTTACTGGTTTCCAACCGGAATTAGATATCAGTTATTTGCCAGATCTTAAACAATTACTCGTTTATGGTAAATTTCAAGGTGTTGGTTGAGTTTGCTAATATACTTATTGCTAGGTAGTAATCCCTTTGGCTACTGTTTACTATGTATGATTAATGTAAGTGGGAGCAAACTGCAAATCTGCTTCGGACTGGTCTTATTGAAAATTATTTGCAAATATTCTACAAACATCAACTACACGAGACTACGAGACACCGAAGGCCACTGCACGAGACCATGCATTTAATTCAATGGAAGCAACAGTTTGAGTGCTACTGATTAAACAGATTCAAAGGCTCTAGTCTCGTTGAAAAAGAATGCAAACTTGTGAGCTTTACCCAGCACGTTCTCTGGCATGAGGCTTAAACGAAACGGCCTGATGAGTCATATTAGCGTACGGTATATCTACTTAAAAACTGGTGACGACAGCTGAGACAGTCGTCATAACGATTTTCGAGGAAATCCCCTTTTCATAACGATGGATTTTCGAGGAAATCGCTCGCAGCAGCCGCCTTCCTTCTGAAAAGCTTAACCCGCGTGCAGCGATCGATGCAGTGCCACACCTTACGGCGACCGCAACACGATCACCGTCACAAATCAGGCACAAGTTCTCTCCTAGTGTTGAATTATTCACTCTTCTTCTTTCTCATAGTTGGTTGTTGAACAATAAATTCATTATCTTGATTGTTTAGATATTCGAACCTTAAATAGTGAGTTAGCGTTCTTCAGTTGGGAACCTCTTTCCTGTTTTTAAGGTTCTTCTGTACGCGAAATTGTTAATAATCCTGTTGTCTATGAATTAAAATGCTCGCACTCAGAAATTGAGCGAGAATTCGTCTAAATAGCAATGCACATTTTGCACATGTGTGAATCATTATGACCCGGCTCGGCCTGCTAAGTCTAAGTCATAAGCATAAGACTTCAAGTAGACCAAATAATTTGAACTGAACAAAGACGACAATTTCACGGTCACACATTGATTGCTTAAACGATTACTCGTTCATGCAGTCCAAACGATGACGAAAATGTCATTTGATGCAAATACAAGAGTACCATGTTTTTGAATCGCCCTTCAAAATTTTTGAGCGAATTAAGCTGTAATGTATAAACAACCGCTGAGAAAAAATGTAATCCGCGACTTGGTAATTCATATTCTTCCTAGACGAACGAACAATAATGTGAACGAAGAAAAACGCGTACGAAGTATAGACGCGAATAAAGAAAAACACGAGCGAAGTATAGACGCAGAGATGATCCCATGCACCACCAGGATGAGCATCAGTCCACACCTTAAGTATACAACGCAGGACATATAAGCACACAGGCTAAAATCCCCTGAGTCAACATGGGCACCAGACCGACCTTCTGTGTCTAAGAAAATAAATAGTTTTTGCTCGTGAGCATAGAACTGTAATAAAAATTTACATCAAAATTACCAATAAAAATCGTTATCCCAAGCTGAATACGCACTTGGATGAGTCAACCGAGTACATGTGCGTTCATCCACATGAATCATGCAGCATATGCAGGTGTGATGTATTCATGGTTGCAGTTGATGAAGAACATTTGTAACCTTGATGGCGTAGTGCCATGTCATGTAACACAATTATCCTACACCTTCTATGGCCTTGACAAAACCTTTATTCAGTAACAATATTAATCCCATATTTTTTCCTTTATGTTCTGAAAGAAAATTACACTCAGAACATCCGTCAACTTACAATAATTCGTTCTTATTCTAATATATTAACATAACTGGCATATATTATTTGCGCAGGTAAACTCAAAAGGGCTTACCTACCTGCCTCAGTACGTAATTAAATATAAATAAGCTAAGCTTGACGCTAACTTGGTCATGGATTCTCCGCGAGCGTGATGGCCTCGATATGGCGAGCTTAAGGTATCAGTGCTACGAGCAAACAAATGCACTGACTGCGCCTAACTTGTCACTGATGTGCGCATCATGCGACGTCACATAGACAAGCTCAGGGGCCGTATTATCAAAACTTCGTTAGTACGCAAAATAGACTTACGAGTGGCGTTGCTATGACAACGTAATACTAGCGGTGGTATTATAAAAACATTTGCGCGGGAAAAACATTTACGCTTTTAGCTAAGTTTTGCGTACGAAAGTTTAGATAATGCCAAAATTAGGGTGTGCATACGTGCCATATAACTTTTTTTGTCGTAAGTACAGAAAGTTACGAAGTTTTGATAATCCGGCGCCTGCAGAGGAACCTCGCACTCGACACACTCAGCCATAAGTCGGGTACTGCAGTCTTCACCAGTAAACAACAAAACATGAACAGATCTGCTTGCTTCTAAGCCAACAACCACAGAAGATATAAATTTCCTCCTTATCTTTACTTTTACACAATATACTACATAATTCAATACATACAGGGTGAACCAGAATTAACTGACCATTTTAATTTGTTAATAAATAAAAAACTAAGAACGTTATGAATTTGAAACTTGTTTTATTTAAATTTAAAAGAAGAACATTTTTATGGTAATATTGTATCCTAGTTAAAATATTGTATCCTATTACAATATTTTATTATTGTATTAGTTAAAATATTTATTATGTATTAATAATATGTATTAGTTAAAATATTGTATGTAATATTGTATCCTAGTTAGTTATTGTATCCTAAAAACTAGGATACAATATTACCATAATAATGTTCTTCTTTTAAATAAAACAAGTTTCAACTTCATAACGTTCTTAGTTTTTTATTTATTAATAAATTAAAAGGGTCAGTTAATTCTGGTTCACCCTGTACAATACATCCAAATTACAGGACAATCGAACAATACCTTTGGCCGAAAATAAGAAATAAAAAAATCGCCGAATTTTTCTGTTAAAGTTTCCGGGCGTAATGCACGATCCGGTTTATAATCGAAAGTTTAAAACGCCAGTCCAAAATGTCTCTTTTGGGTTTGACCAAGTATAAATCCTCAAACACAAGCTCGTAGTCTGACTTGCCGACAGGGCGAGACCCAAGATTATGTTTTTTTTCAGAATTTTCACGGGGCCACGCTAAAATTGGCTCGGATCGGCGCATTGAATGAAAAATTGTGAAGCTTTAGACTGAGTTCAGTTTAGAACAATCCGATACATTTATGTTTGCAATACTTGAATTGGCAGAATAATAGGACAAATGATTAATTCAACCGACCTGTTAATAAGTTCAATCTGTTTGTTATAGCGTCTCAGGCGAAATACTATGGTGATACTAAAAGATGAATTTAATTAGTGTAGCAATACGCCGTCTATCATTTTTAGACTGTGCTGTTAACGAAAACTGATGAAAATGCGGTGATCAATTCTCAAGAATAACGTTAGTTCTGTTCATAACTTCATATTTCCAGCTTTTGAAAAATTGAAGGGGCAAATTGCAGTTAAAAAATTTGTAACATTCGGCAGATCCGCGAAAAATATTCAGTGTTGTGTAAATTCGTATACCTACTTTTATAATGAAACTAACTTCAATACAGTCACATGTCATTAAGTTACAAATATTAGCTATACGTATAGGTATTGCTGTGTTCAAAAAATGTATAAGAACATAAAATTTGGTGTCTGAGCCG